GTATGAATAAATATTCAAAAGTTGTGAAAATTAAATCTTTCCGAAACGCGACGGAATTTCCGAAAGTTATCCGGACGCTGTTCATAGTAAGTTTAATAGCATTGAGGATAGCTCCTAAGTTTATTATTGTATGTAATACTATGGTTCACTGGATCTGTAAAATCAAATATCAACACATATTGACCAAACCCTCAAATTGAATTAATGTTCACAGAGGAAGAAGATGAATATGACAAGCAGTTTGAACTACTACGAGAAGCAAATTTAAAAAGCAGACAAGTAAAAATAGAGGAAGAATTGGTGACATTTAGGAAAAAAGTGGTAGACTGTAGATCCAGTTTACAACAGTCAAAAGAACAGGTAAACATATTGCCTTCTTGTGTGTCAGTGGTTCATTGGGATTTCAAATTCTGTATGTATGTAAGGGTGCCTCTAAAGGGTAGTTGTGCGTGAAAAAGGTGAGGTGCATTTTTGACCATATGTCAGTTGCGCATACGTGCAAACCAGACTTGCGCGTGACATTCTGATCTTAACCTGCGCGCAAACCAGACTTACGCGTGTCAATAAAATAGAGTGGGAACAAATGAAATGTACGAGAAAATCAGACTTGCATGTGAGCTTGCATGTGGCTAATTATATCTAATTATACACGCCAATTAAATATGGAAGTATAAAATATGTTGTGAATACGGCCAAAAACATTGCAAAAAGTCTCACTAGTTGTCACTCCGTATTTATAAACGCGCACCACCCATTTGATTGAAGATCCTTATTGATACAATATTATACATAAGCTTTGGTAAGCTTCCAAATATTGTTACAGTAAATCACGAAATACAACACAGTGTTGCACTCTGCTCATTATGATTTATGGACATGAATTAATTACAGCTGTAAATAAAATGTATGTGTATCAAATAGGTCGAGAATACTAGTAAATAAAATGGCTATGAGTGTTGTTAATGTCCGGTGTTATAGCCACATGTTCTGTATTGTTTATTTGTTTATTTTAAATAGCAACAATATTTAAATCTGTTTGCGGTGAGGCCATTGTCCAATTGAGCTTCTATTGAATGGAATCATGCGGTGTTTATAATAATAATAATAATAATAATAACTTTATTGCATCCTTAGAAATACAATGTTTCTATCAGTTAATAGCAATAAAGATTAGTTGCGATAACTACTACTACAAAAAGAAAGTTAGTTGTTAAAAAAAGATAAAGCAAGTGTTACATATCAAATAGCATTTTTATTTCTTGATTGAAATGCATTATGAATATAGTTGCCAATCTTTTTTTGTTATTACATCATCTTTTGAAGTCATCAAGAAATTAAATTTCTGGAGATCATCCTGGGTTTCTTGTGGAAATATAATGTCTTGTATGATTTGTTGGCATATTACTTTATATTGTGGACATGTTTATGATGTGTGAAAGAACGACATCTTCAAGAAATGTGCTACTCAAGAGACGTTTGCCGATGACTGTGCCAGAGGTGCGATCAGTGTATACATGTTCTGTGATTCCAGAAAAAGTAGTCCTGAATAAAATAAACATATGGTATAATAACATGCTATAACGAGTCACCCAACAACACGGCAGCTCTTGGGTTGGTTTTGCGAAAATGAACTGAATACTGTGACCGCCAAATCAGCTCATCATTTCCCGAACAAGAAATAGTCAACGTCACTCCAGTCAATTGATTGGAGTTTTTTTTACCTCCATGATTGGACTGTGTTACATTCGCAGAAAAAGTTGCGGTGCAATTACCACGCAGTAATAAAAGTTTGAGTGATCTGGGAAATAATTACGAATGATTTGTTTCAGGCTTGTTGGTGAAACTATTTATATTTGTTACAAATTATAAGTGTTTCCCTTGATGCATAATAGCATCTGGAGTAAGTCGTTCAACGTAACAAAGAACTTGCAAGTGAGTCCTCAAGTGAGTCCTCGAGGCCATTCTACACTCCCATGATAAAATGTTATTTTATTGAATACACAACAACAAATAAACAAGGAACTGTATGCAAGTCTAGTCCTCGAGGTGAATTTACTAGTTTGTTGCTGTTAGTTATTGATTGAACTATGTAGCCACTCGCCCTATCGACAATATAAAAAAACATAATTGATTATAATATGCCAGTTAAACAAGATTGGGTTCACATGTACCTTGAAATCTACGAACTTTCAAGAAGGCATTCATCTCTAAACTTATCAGCGTTATGCAAAAACTGACAAAGACTGTTTCAAGTGTATGAACAGCTTCGGTCTTATAGCTACGGGGCTGTGTGTGTGTGTGTGTGTTATAGCGCGACATATACGTGACAGCCAGCGCAAAATAGAACTTGATTGGGCGATTATCAAAACATCGGTATGCCTTTGATGTGATGCCGTTTGAGACGGCGTAGTTGGACTATTCCATTGCATTTATGGGTACGTAAAAAAATGCTGTAACACTTCCATGAAATATGAATATAAAACTGAGAATGAATATTAAAAAGCCATAGTAATTATAAGTTCTGTTCATTGGTAGTTTGTTGATATTTGTTGCTGTCATGATCTTGTATTAGTAATATTAGCGTGGCGAGTGTCAGGTACTCAGTTTATTGTTTAATGGGATGTCCCATTGCCAGTCAATTTTTCCTTGGAATATTTTACTTTTAGTTTCACCACTATAACGTTACCACGTACCAGTATCCCTCGAATATCATGTTTTGCAACAAGGATATTTTGAATGCATAACAAGATACAGTTAATTCGAAGGTTTTATAATAAGACTAGCTGACGTCGGCCGTTGCTCTTGCTGGAACGTAACCAAACTAGTGCGACGGAAATGTCGCACAATGCCTTGAACTCGCCATCTTATTTAACGATCACTGGCAAACTGTTTCCATCCAAGAAGAATCGAATAATCCCCCTCAGAGTGTCCACAAGCTCTGACATAACAGCAATAATTGTATAGTTTTAGTTAACAATGGGTTCAAAATAAAAAAACTGCACTCTAAACTGTTCTCACGAAGGTAATTTTGGTACTGTTATCATTTATATTTTAGAGGTGTTCATTAAAAATAGATGTATCAACGAAGTTTATTGTTTTTATAAAACCTTCAAAATAGAATCAATTTATTTATGTCAAAGGGTCAACTTGCGTGAATACAATTATAACTAAGGACGTGCCGGTACTAGTGAAATGACTCTCGAAAACTGAATGTTCTTTGTGAACTTCCACTGGGTATGGGAGAACGCAACACAAGTGCGTTGGGCAAATGAATCAATATTCACCATCTCTGCATGTTTTGGTGTGATTATGGAAGAGATTATTTGTCTATTTATTTTTTGCAATACATTGTCCCATGGAGGCAGCTATTATGCACCTCTGCGATTTTTCCCAGACTCTCACTGTTGACAAATACATTGACAACTCCGAAACGTTCGACTAACGATACTTATTTATACGGGCGTATAATACTGACTTATTAATTACTCTACAACGGTGTCGATAAAGCCCATACAAACATATCACTCGCAACTTAGAATAAAGAATAAACCAATTTGTTGGGGCAAATAATTCATGTGTGTATACTCTCGATCCATTCGTATCAAAGAGCCTGACTTGTACCTTTCAGTTGTTCTCAACTTACATTGGCACCCATGAACTGGAATAGTTCACATTAAAATTTAAAACTCAACTGAAAATGTGGTTATTTCACCGGACATTACAACACTTGTATACATTTTATTATAATATTTGATATCTCCATATTTTATTGGCATGTACAATGAGAAAGGTACATGCAAGCTCACATGCAAGTCTGATTTGCACGTACATTTCCTTTATTCCAGCTCTATTTTATTGACACGCGCAAGTCTGGTTTGCGCGCAGGTTATGATTAGAATGTCACGCGCAAGTCTGGTTTGCGCGTACTCGCAAGTGGCATACTAGTATTGACAAAAATGCGCCTCACCCTGTAGAGGCACCCTTACTTACCTCAATTCTGTCAGACACTTATGTGCAGACTATTTGCAAATTCCTCATTCTCAGGGGCTGACATCTGGGCATTTAACTGCCTGGCAACCATCATGATGAAAACAAAGGCCAAAAACCCCCAGAAAACTGTACTTTTGGATAGTTGTTGTCACTAAACTACTACTACTACTACTACTGAACATTTTAACAAGATTACCCCTACATGTATAACATATATAGATTTGAATGCTCCGGATTACTTCAAATTTACTTTGTGCTGTTTTCTCGACTTCAGCCTTTTTTATCAGCCGGCGTTCCACAGTAGCACGCACAGAGCCCGTAGAAATATAGAAAGTTCTGTGACGTACATTTTAGCTTCACTCCTGCAGATACAAATAATTTCAGCTACATTTCTATTTGTCTCAGGTGTTCCACTGGAAGAGCAAAGTAGACAGAGCTTGTATTGAGAGACTGCGATCCTTCCAGAACCCACCACTCATTGTACTACAAGTCATGGAAATGGTTCTGACAATGATAGGAAAGCAAAAACCAGTCCATTATTATGACAAATTTGGCGGCAGCGATGCTAAGCTTCCTAATGAGGATGCCTCACTAATATCTGGTAGACAGTCCACTAGCTCTGGGGCTTCTAAGTCACCTACTAAAGGATGGAGAGCTGGCCAAAGTAAGCACTGCGGTCAAAACTTGCTAATACCAAAAAATGCTGCTGCTGCTACTGCTGTGTGGTTTTATCTCACCCAAGTAAAAACTTCCAACCATCTCAATTGTCATGGTACAGCTTATAATAGTTTAACCTACCAGTTCCCTCTTTTCATCACAAAATTGTCTGAACTTTCCTTCAGATGATTTGGACAAAAAAGTTTAAATTTTTGGAGTGAAAAAAAACGAAAAGTGACTTAAATTTTGTCTGTTGGCTCCAAATATAGGGTTCACTCCTAGAAATATTGAAGAATATAAGAAAAAAAGTGCAGACAAATTTTGGCGGTTAATTCTGGTGTTAAACAGGCTAAACACCAATATACCTTAACTGGAAATGGCCGTCAAGATCTCATTATGCTAAATGACTAGTATTTTCCCTCAAATAATGTTCCATTTTTTACTGCCATCACTTTCACTGTTTCAAATACCATACTTTCCATGTCAGGGGAACAGTGGACGCAATTGTAATAGAGAATGGAACATTATTTTGAGGGGAAAACAAGCCACCCGACTCTCTTACTTTCAATGAGAACCTGGCAGCCATTAGTAAATAGGGTCCATTGATATATGCATAATTTGTATTTTGAAATGTGTACAGCCATTCAGTACATTGATTTATTATAATTTAAGCCACAGGCAGTGTCATCCTTCTTCACTTTATGTTACATGTTACAGAGTTGGTTGGATGGGTTTATTTGTTTGTGTACATCTAATATCACATGCATATCATCCAACAAGACTGACATCACATCATTTGGTGTCCTTCTAATCTCTATTTGGTGTACCCCTTCCCTCATGCTTCCATTTCCCATGCTCAGATTTATCCAACTAATTTTATTACCAATTTTTATTTTGATTATATGTGTGTCAATTACCAATGTGGATACTGTGTATATTGATGTACACCATATAAAATACATTGTAGTGTGCATATTATAAGATATAAATATTGAAAAACATTACATCCATATTTTCTCTATTAGAAGCGCATTCATGTAATCCTGAATCAAACAGTATTTTCGCACATACACTCTTTTCTGTGATGTGTTACTGATAGAATATTATGGTACACAACATAACACTCAACATACAGTATACACTATAGTGTAAAACTCACCTTTTCTGAAACACAATGGATAATAAGTAAATGCAGTAGTGTTTAGGATTGGGCAGTACAGCCAGTGCATGCATGGCATTTATACATACATGATTGCATCCTAATGCATGTATGCATGTCATAGTGTTTGTTGATATTCACTGTAAGGTTTCTCTGTGGTACATTCACCAAGGATACACATACATTTCTGAAGTTGTTTCAACTGAACACATGTGTATTATATTCATGCACAGATGGTTGATTTCTTTGAATCCACCTTCGACTGTGACAGCAGCTTGTCGAATTTCAATTCAGTTACATATTATTTTTTTCTAACTACCGGTAGTCTCATTCCAGCAATGAGAATTTTGTAACTGAGAAAATAAAATTCACCAATCTTCTACTAAATATGTTTCCAATAAAAAAAAAACACTTTTATCCTTGTTGTATGTACATATGATGTCATTGACACACCAGTCACACACACACTACGTAAACTGTAAATTTCACTTCTACTCTAGGTTTTGATCACAGATTGCCACAGTTATGTATCCTCGGGCAGCTTTGTATCATGTCAGTCAACTATTTCATATACATACCATGTTTCCCTCTCCAGCTGCAATTCGTTGTTTTGTTTTTATCACTGATATTTTTTTTTTATTTGCCCTCCTCCCCCAACTTCCTGTAACAACTATTAACATTTTATTGACTCGTGATCCTTATTAACAGAAGATACTGCTACCAGTGGTTACCAGCGTAAGTTGTTTATCTTACATCTCATATCATCATCACACTTAATTCTTCTTCTAATACAAATTAAAAAAGAAATTAAAATGAATCATAAGGATTCTGGGTTGAACAATGTGTTTGATTCAATAAGGCCAGATGTCATATTGATGTGAAAAACTTGATGATAAGCAAACATCCCTATCAATCTGCAATAGTGGTATATTTTCTCAGTAGAATAATATGAAGACAAACTACAGCAATTACAAGGGTGTATGTAGAGATTCAGTAATAGTGTATTTTACATAAACATCTTTCAGAAAACAAGATATCTCTGGGGACCTGTCATCAAGTGTTTCTAAATACTGTATTTGCTCTATTAGAAGCACCATAGTTAATATAATATATAATGGTGATGGTTGCTACAGTTAGACTGAGATGTATTAAAGTATTAGAATCAGCTCTGTAGAAACTGTGCTGATTTGCTACCCACACATCTCAGTCTCTCTGTAATATCTGGTTTTCATTGTAAGGTGCTATAGGATGGTTGCACTTTATACATGCCTCTATGGCAGTGTGTTTCTAATAGAGGAAATACAGTATAATCCTGTAAAAGAAAAAGAAATACAAAACAGCCAAACATAATCACTATAAGAATAGTATTTTAATATGCATGAAACTAAGAATTATTAATAAAAGTACATGTAACTGCATGTGCATTATTATTGGAATGTTGGTGATGTTGTGTTTATATTGATTTTAATATTTCTTATATATTTGCATGATATTAAATGTTTTTTTCACGTGGTGTAATGTGTTTGCATCTTATAGGAGATGATTATAGGGCTAGAAAATGTAAGTGGCTTCAAATAAGAACACCTGCTATCACTGATATATTATATACTGCTAGTAATTATTGTTTGTGGTGGTTTAATATATTATGCACTGATATGTGTCACATGAATTGCTGAGTTCAGTACACTGGCTCATTACACTTGTTACTCAGTTTTGTTCAAATGTATATGCACAGATTACAGTTTGCAATACATACAATAAGTCATGCCTGTAGCAATGAAACTATTCTGACACTTATATAGATGTATACATTGGTAATCAACCTTTTCACCACCAGACTTTCCCATCCAAATTTGTCTGCACTCTTTTCTGATATTCTTCAATATTTCTGGAAATAAATTCTAATTTTGAAGCCAACAGACAAAATTTGCGTCAATTTTAAGTTTTTACTAAAAAATTTGGCTATTTTTGTCCAAATATACCGAAAGAAAGTGCAGACTATAAACAGGACTATTTTGTTAATTTGTGATGAAAAGAGGGATATGGTGGAGAAAAGTTAATGTTGCTGTATTCTCTTGTTTATTTGATAGAGAATTGTTTATATCCATCTATTGTATGTGTTTTGACTCTTGAGGACATAACTTATTTATTGTATTACTTTAATTTTATGTGATCATACAGTAATTATGTCTATAGTTTGTTTAGTGGGGTAATTCTGTTTGCTAGATTTTGTTGTATATCCTGTATATACCAGTATATATATATATATATGTATGTATGTGTGTGTGTGTGTGTGTGTAAGTGATTTTGTGGTGACAGGGGTATGTATGGAACCAACTTTAGCAAAGTACATGTGAATTGCATTGGCCGTAATTTGTGAAAAGTAGTTGGTTGTAAAGTGTACCATATGCAAGCACTAAAACTAGCGAGTATGGGGAATAAATATAACAAGTACAGATAACACACATAACATATATATTGCAATAATATGTGTAGACCCTAATAGTTTCATTTTGGTCACTATGGTGTGAAGTTCATGAGTGATAATGACAGATTTCACAGTCTGTCAGATTCTGTATTGTCTAAAATCCTAGCTTCATTTATGCACTGACCATGGTTAATGAGATAATTGATTGTTTAATATCTCCTTCTTTAAACTATGTATGTAACCTTGTATGTGTAGAATTGTCTTCAATATTTAAAGTAGGTTTTGAGTGTATATGTCATGATTGTGATCAAAGTTTAGTTGGTGTTGGCCTACAGAGCTGCTCAGTGATATCACCAAGTTACTCAGTGATGTCACTAAGTTACTCAGTGATGCCAACAAGTTACTCAGTGATACACCAAGTTACTCAGTGATACACCAAGTTACTCAGTGATATCTCAAGTTACTCAGTGATATTTCAAGTTACTCAGTGATATTTCAAGTTACTCAGTGATATCACCAAGTTACTCGGTGATATCACCAAGTTACTCGGTGATATCACCAAGTTACTCAGTGATATCTCAAGTTACTCAGTGATATCAACAAGTTACTCATTGTGGACTTTATTTCCGTGAACTATACCTCCTACACAAGCACTGTGAACAAGCAACTGTATTGATCAACCTGAACTTGTATCTAACTTTACTTATTAACTGCCTAACTTTGGTAACTTTCCTTACCTGACAATTGACTAACAACTCTTGCCTAAAATAACCATAATTTCAATGAATAGTTTGCCTAACTCAGCGGATTATTAAATTCAAGGGTGTATAAATAATACCTGGGAATTGTAATCTACAACTCCACAACTCTACAACAGCCTAACTCCACAATTGCCTAACTTAGCAGGCAAAAAACACTGAATATTAAATTAGCTTTGCAGACTCTAATTATACTATCTATTTACACAATGCAGGTGCAGCGATAAACGGTTGCAGTAATCAGTCGCAGATATTTTCTATTTCACCTTCACACACTTCTCACTAATGTACTGTGTATGTATGTACTGTTGCTTACTTATTTGTAATGCCAAACAGATATAAGTTGGGTTCCTTCTAACACTCACTACTGCATACCAAACATAAACTACTGATGCACAGCCAGCATAATGCATAAAATAATCACAATAAATCTATAAACCATTTATCAGCACTGACCTGAATTAAGTAATGAACTTCTCCACTGTGCAGCTAAGAAGGATGAAGACAAGGAGAGAAAAGCAAAATGGAAACAGATTCAGATCATCTTGAATGACTCTGTAAAGTTTGTAGATATGTTGCACAATGTTAGATGGGAAGATGGCATAGATGATGATGTGCTTGCCGGGGTAGAGTATTATTTGCCACGGAGTAAAGAAGGTGATGGAGTCACTGGTGAAGGATCGTTACTGGATGTACCAGGTAAGTAGACTATATTTATGGCTAGGATTATTAAATTCGTCCTTGTAAAAAGAAATATTTTTGTTTCAATGTTGTTGGTTTTTTTCATACAGGAAGCTCATCTCTGCCTGATTCCAAGAAAAGAACACTATCTCCTAGCAACTCTGGTGGTATAACAATTGCTGCAACACGGTACAGCTCTGAGGATGCAGGCACCTTGGTTGCCTACACATGTGCCATTGTGGAGTACTCACATAAATGTGGCCCTCTCAGGGAAGCACTGCGCAAACTTGATGACTTGGAAAAAGAGAAGGAAGAGAACGAGAGACTGCAGAGAGAGCGAGAAGAGCGAGTAAGTCATAAACATTTGGTTTTGGTGAGTCACACTGTAACAATTCATTCAAAAGTTGAGCATACTGTACTCTGAGATTATTTTTATAATTGGAGTCTAAGGCAATATGTGAAATATTTGATGGTCTGAATTACTTCATGAGTGATGAAAATCATTTATAAATTTAACGTTTTTAGTTGATCAAGTATTTCACATCATTGTCGAGCCTCAATAAAGCATTTTTAATAATCTCAGAGTGCAACTTTAAAACAGCAACTTTTTTATAAATACTGCTCAAAGCCGATATGAATGGTAAATAGCTGCGTCAGCAGTCAATGTGTTAACTTGCTCTATGGCCAGCACATATAAAGTGAGCTGTCAGGTGACAAGCATGTACTTTGACCCTGGATGACTGTACATGTATGTACCTATACTTTAAAATAGTTTCATTTTTTCATTTGGAATATTATATTCACTGAAGGGATGATTCAGTGAAAATACCTTTTTTCCTGTTTTACATTTAACTTGTCAAAAATATTGAAAATAAATTCCAAACGAAACACTCAAAAAGTCTTTTCAGCAAAAATTAATTCCAGCTGAAATAAAGTATTTTACAGTATTCCACATGGAGTAGATTATTGCTGACTGTAACTCAACTTTTGAATGTCTTGATAGATCATAGTTTTATAACCATTTAGAATTTGTGTGCGGGAACTGTCCTAATAGGCACAAAGAATTCATAGTATAATAGTAGATTATTTTGCAACTGTACTTTATAGACACAGGTGGAGGTGATATAATGGCATGTTAGAACAAGAGTGTGACATTGTATAGTATACCTTACCTGAAATCACTTGATTTTAAATGATACAGTACACTATATATTGAAATGTCTGTAAAGTCAGGTTGTGTAGTTTTTAACAGCATTCTTTGCAACCACTATACATCAAGTTATGTTACATTCATTGCATGACATATAGCATGCCTTCTTTTTCTACTATTCTCTGCATCTGACAAAATCTGACATATTTTGAGTCAACACTGCATGTACATATCACAGTAGAACCCAGAATATTGTTATAACACAGTGGATCATTTAGTTATAGTGTGAATATTATACAAACAATCCTGTACCCATAGCAATCACTGACTGCTGTATAAAATTCATTTTATATCTTGGCTCAATAATAGTCAATCATCTGATAATTTGGAATCATTGTGGAAAGACCCATATATCTGTCATTCAATAAGACTAGAAGAACTCTCTGTAACTGCAAAAAGGAGATCAATTGGGTCACGTTTCGGCAATTGCCAGCTGTCAATCATACCTAGTTATTTACCAGTTCTTTATCGACTTTGATTGATATCAATGGAAGTGATATCTGCCAATTATTTACCTTTGTATGGCTTACAAGACAAGATGTGCCTCGTTTATGGTCAAATTAAAAACATATTGTATTTATGGTTTTCTGCATTTTGCATGGTCTGTGGATTTTTGCATGCATGTAATTTAAATTTGGTCTTGATAGCATTATTTTTGTTAATGCATGGAAATATATAAATATATTTAATATTGTGATGTAATTTATATTGATTTTGTATTTCTTTCTTCTGTATTGATTTGTTTTTACATACAAACATTACACACATTTTCCTCCGTACATTCTTCTAAAAAAAAATGCTGCATGGCTTTTCTCGTTGTCGTCACCATCACCATCACGTTGCTGGACATGTGTATATGTGTTTACATTCGCCGTGTAGGGTGAATCGCCGTCATCGGTAAGATTGCTTTCAGCTGAATGACCATTTAGTTACCATTCATGATATGTGTGTATGTATTTGCTTCTATATGTATTAGTTTATTTATTGCTTCCCTGTGTAGAGCACAATTTAATAAGATAGGATGTTAATTATTAAATCTTAATGACTTAACTTAATGTGATGTGATTGATCCTGGTGTTATAATGATGTAATTATTCTTTATAAAATGATAATGTCAACATTATTATAATTTTATATTGATAACAAATTGATAAATAAGAATCTAATTTTATATATAAGATCAAAGCCTACTCATAAATGAAAATACCCAAAATTTATTTATTTTGCAATAAATTGTACTCTTGGATAATGTGAGACTATTGACTTAAACAAATTGAGGGTCACCAGCCTAATTTGAAAAAAATAATTGTTGTATTTTGATGAATGGTGACAATTATAGCGTACCAGACATCATACCATATCTCAAATTGTTGCTTAGTAAACAAATTAGAGATCCTTGGGTACTTTTAGTTTTGTTTTAATAAGTGACAAACGTTACAACATTGTACTGTAAAATAACACTGATTTATGAGACAGTGATTGCACACAATAAATCAATGAACATTGTCATGTGATTTATTAATAACTCTCTCAAAATGTATGAGTAGGCTTCTACTTTACCATTTTCTGTTCACTGTGAGATCCCATGTTATACATGAAATTGAAAGCAAAAACAATGACAAAAGTCGTATCAATGTCAAAAAATCACGTGGGATTCAGCAAAGGTGAAAGTAGTTTTGTGTATTTTCACGCACAAGGATGTGTTACCAATTGATGATGGTCAATTTTAATGAAATAATTGTATCTTAATACCAAATTTCCCTCCATGTTTCAACACTGAGCTATAAAATAAGAAATTTATGATCTGTGCCTTTCATTCAAAATGCGAGATATTGCAGTGACAGAAAATCATCTATTGTCTATTTAGTATTTAAATTGTGGTTAAAAATAATAATTGAAAACTCTAGCAAGTATTATTTTGTGAATATGTTCAATATAAACATTTACAGTGGTGCTTTTAAAACCTCTTCAAAGTGTTTACTGAATTTTCATACCATAATGACACAATTGCTGCTATCAGCCAAGAGTGTCGTCAATTTCTAAGATTGCAAATCTGAGTGATGAATGACTAACGTCAAAACTCTGTATAATAAACCCTAGTCATTCTATAATCAGCTTCTAACATGGCTCAATCTGAGTCAAGTATATCCTTAGCAATTTTTTATAATTATATATTTATTTCACTATCAATCTGACCACTGATACAGTTATTTTTAGTATCAGTGTTGATTCTGATATCAAAATTGACATATAATCAAGGTGACTTTCACTACAAATAGAACAAAAGAATATAGTTCCATTCAATTTCCAATGTCTCTGTTCCTTTGATGATAATCACATTTCATTAACCCAGCCATGTTACAAATAATGTAAAGCACTGTGAATATATTCTCCTTGATATTTAAGTTTATTGTCAAATTAAATTCAATAAAAGAAATTGAAATGTTAAATAGTACTATAAGTGAGAAGTTGAACAATTCCTTCGTAAAATGTTCTCCATATTTGTTTTAATTTGAAGAGCCTGTATTTATAATTGTTAATACTAAATAAGCTATTATACAGTATATAATGTATATGTATATTATGCCACTATTAGTAAGTTATATACTAGTGTTCTCATACAAATATAAATTAATTAATTTAAAGCCAAGACATTTTCTGAATAATTTATTGTTTTATATGTCAGTACAAGATATCCTGTTTAAATTTAATAGTGTGTACTATGATGTGAGGCAAGTAGAGAATATAAAACCATTGGATGAATAGTATTAAGCAGTACCGGTATAACTGGTTTTGTATTATTTTGGATCTGAATAGGTCCTTTGGTTCATTTATCTGTATACACAGCATTTTTTGTGTTAGGGTTCGGCCTATGCTCTGACGTTGCCATGTATATTGACAGGTGAAGCCCAGGACATTTCCAAACCCAAATAATGCCAAACCACAACTATGCATATTATTGGCAATAACATTTGTGAGGTGATTTTCTTCCCATTTAGGAAAGGCGTGAAAAAGATGAAATTGAGGAGGAGGAGCCTGAAGCTGATATTGAATACGTGGAGGATGATATCAAGAGATTACAGTCAGATGTGGATGTTTTACAAGCTGAGTTTGATGCCTCTGTAGTTGATAAACATAGTCTAGAAATGAAATTGGTTGCAAGTAATGAAAGACTAAGAGCTGCAACAGAAATGATACACAAGTATGTTTTTCTTATCACATGTGTATTATACTGTGTTGAATACCAGTACATTTACTACCATAATTATTAATCAAAGGGTGCAAAGCAATTTATCGAGGCAACACATGGTGTAGTCAAAGGCAAAGCAAAGAAAAGATGTTCAAGGATAAGGTTATCATGTGATTTCCACAAAGTATGCACTTAAACATTACATAGGAGCCCTTTGCTATACATTGTTTGTGTCAGTTGATGTGATATCCGTACTGCCTTGCAGTATTTTTGGGGTTAACCTTGTAGTACATGGTTTCAGGTGTGCTTTCAGCACCTCAAAGGACTACACCAGTAAAAGTATTAGGTAGATTCACACTCCTTTATTGTATGTGCAATGAAAGCAATAATATTGATAGTTTTCAAAGATACAAATTAATATAAAATACATTTACTTAAAAAGAGGTGGTCATTGCACCATGTATGCGTGAGATATGGGTCTAATATACCGTTAAACAAAGATGGTGACTTTTATTGTTGTGCAGACCAACGAGCACAAACTGGGATGTTACCAAGCTTTAACTAGGTAATTGCTTTGGTGATTGGTGAGGCATCGAAGACGACAACATCAGTAATTAGTGCATGTTGCACCCAGGTCAAAATTGTGGGAAAATCAATGTTAATCAACACAAATGTTGCACATGCACGTTGTGACAACCACCGTCCTTTAAAAACCAAACATCAGTATTAATTAAGCTGTGTGTGTTGAGATGCCTTCGCAATTATTGTACACATTGATGTGTTCTTGAATTATTTTCTATTCACAGTTTACGAAGTAAAGAATCTCACTGGCGTGAATATGTCAAGGATAACTCACAGACAGATTTGTTATTATTTAACTGTCTTGCAGCGGCCGGTTTTCTGACATACTGTGCACCAATGGTTCCAGACACCAGGTAATATTATCTATCATTGAATACATTTACTTAGTTACTGTTTTCTCTGTCACTCATATTGGTTGCCATGGTAAAACATGTAGTTATGCTAAAACCCATATTCTAATGTAACAATATAGTGTTAAACTCTGCAATTATGCTACAACCCATTTTCTAATGTAACAGTAAAGTGTTGAACCCTGTAATTATGCTAAAACCCATTTTCTAATGTAACAGTATAGTGTTTAACCCTGAAATTATGCCGAAACCCATTTTCTAATGTAACAGTAAAGTGTTGAACCCTGCAATTATGCCGAAACCCATTTTCTAATATAACAGTATGACTGTTTCCCACTGACATACTAACTGTATTCATATGGTTCACTGTATGACTCTTCTTCACAGGAGGAGGTTTATAGCAGAATTCACAAAGATATGCAGTGATAAAGGTTTGAAAGAGCCTAAGAAGAAACTGTTCAACAACCTCTCACTTATTGAATTCTTGTACACAAAGGTAAGAGTGAAAGAGAGTGATCTGCTGTCTTTGCATTCACATGGTTTAATTCTAATTATACAGATTACCGATAATAATTAAAATTGTAAAACTGAAGTGCCTTTTTACCAGATATTGGCTGTCAAGCCTGAAATCCAAATGCCAAACTAATTAGGGAAATAGACAACAGGGCCATAGACTTCTTTACAGAGTTTAAGTGATAAAGAAGACATATATTGGCTCAATCTAGTAGGAAGCCTTTTGTAAATTATTGAACGTGGTTCGTGGACGATGAGCAGCTAATATTGTAGTAATTGCACTGTTGATTACAGGTTGATATCCAAGCACTCCATATTCTCCATCTTCCTATGACACCTAGTGTACAAGAGAATGCATGTCTAATGATGCAACAACTCAGTTGTACTGCCTGGAATCTAATCTGTGATCCTACAAGTAGAGTACAAGACTGGCTGTATAAATACCTCAAATCAAATCTGGTACAAGTCAAGTATTGTGTAAGTACTTTCCCTATAAAACTTTCCATTCTGTATACAATACTGTAAAACCATTTATTTTCACTTGCATTTAATCTTACTATTTTGATATTTCAAGTATATTCACAGGTTTTAAGATCACAAATTTGCCAGTGCCAGTGAGATGGGTTTTATTGTTATTTTACATTTTCATGTGAATTTAATTCAGTGCATTTTACATATCAGCCAAAATAGCAAAATTAAAACCTTGTAAATAGCTATTGCATTTACAGTAGAATAGAATCAAATATTCTGTCAAATAGAATAATATGATAATATGATTTACTGGTATACAGTATTACTATAGTTATCAATAATTACATCACTTATGTGTTTTGACAGGAATTACGTTCACACTTGGAGACCTGTTTATCTGAAGGTCAGAATCTCTTGGTAACGGACTGTGATGTTGATGCCTTGGCAGAAGATGGCAGGTTCTTTCAAGTATTGAGACAAAGAATGGCATTTCTCAAAGGAAGACAACCATTTAAAATGAATGTAAGTGATAATCGTTTTCTGGTCTGGTACTATTTTTGGTGCAGATACTGAAAGGTGACAGATTTTAGTACAATATTTGTTATAAGTTAATTGTGTGTTTTTTTTCATTTATTTTTTGTGTCACTTTTGTCTCTCTGAAAATGTCTAGTGCTGTCATATATGGTGCATATTGCAACATCATGACAGGGCTATCTTAGTGGCATTATGGCAATTGCTATCCTGGTGTGAACCAGGCCAGGTCAAATACAAGCACATGCTGACATTAAAGAAAAGGCTTCCCAAAATTGATAGGTATAGTGAACGAATCTATTGACCTGTGAATTTGACCATAGACAGTATAGTAGGAATATATACTGTCTATGATTTGACCTTCCCAATGAGTATGTGGCATACTCATTTTGATAGGATTTGAATACAGGTCCACAGATCATGAGTTGGATATAACAACAACTACACTACTGCTACAATTTTTCAACCATTTTAAAATACTGTTGCTTTCCATTCTAGTCTCAATCTAGTTTAAAATACATTGTATGTGCATTAGTTTACTGAATTGAAATGTTATGATTGGACAATGTACATTTTTAACCACTCACTAAAGGCTTTTGAGTATATCTCTCAGACTGAATAAAACTTGTCACATTTTTGTCAGTTCCATAAGCTATATATTTTTCTACCTTACATTTATTAGGTTGGGGACCATGAAGTTGAATGTAGTCCCTCTTTTAGACTGTACCTACACACAACATGTCAGCCACAGCAAGTACCAAACACACTGGCTGCATACACCGCAGTAACATACTTCTATCAAGTACGTCATGATATAGAAGAGGAACTTTTAGATAGATTCATGACATTAGAAAAAGCCAGACTTAATGATGAGAAGCTTAGTCTATCACAGGTAAGTACCACTGCAATTATAACTTTAATAATGTATATAATGTTTTCAATTTTGTGATTTGTCTTTGAATAAAATTACTTGTAATATCATATATTTGTTCACATGGATTTATTTTAGCTGATTTCTCCTCTGAAAAAAACTCAGTGAATTAGTGTTTAAACTATTCTTTGTTTTGACTTTATACCCAGTGAGTTGTGAGTTTATTGTCTAGTAAACAAGATACGACTACTAGGAAAAAATTTCAGTTACCTATTACCACACTCCCCCTTCACTGTTAATATTTGAACCACAGAAGTGTATGTTCTATTAAAATAGGACATAATTTTTTTTAAATGTTAATTGCATTCATGCTGTTGATTGCAGGAGAAAATTGAGAATATGGAACATTTAGAAAGTTTAGAGAAACAGATGTTGGAGTGTTTAGCAGGGGATACGAGATTGCTCAATGATTTGGTAACAACCAAGAAGTTAGCTGAAATGAAAAAACACTATGATGAGACACTGGAAAGGTTTGTCATTTCATATCTATCTTTATTGACATCACGCTCAGGGTATTTAATATTTAGTTAGAAAAATTAGAAAAAGTATACTTGCACTTTGGTGAATATCTGAAACTGTCATATCAAAAATAAAATTAAATAATATTTCAAACAATTATTAATAACTAAAATAATTACAAAAATAAATTGTCTTGTCACCAAATGACCTGTGTGTTGGCATTTTAGGAGATGGCCAATTGATGACGTCACAATCTCAAATTGTGTACAAGAGCCAATCAGATTTGCTGGTAAAGTGTGATATTAGAAAGATCACATGGATTATGTATGATATATGTGATAAGAGCATCTATCATTTTCTTACATTCCTAAAATATAACAATAATAATTGTATTATTTTCTTCTAGTCAAGAGAGAATTCGTTTATCTGAGAATTCCATTAAGAATGCACGTGAAGGATATAGAGCTGTCGCATTACGAGGTGCTGTGTGTTTTGATACCACTCGTACCATGGCTGAAATCAATCCGATATATCAAACATCATGGCAGCAGTTCTTAGAAACTTATGATGTCTCAATCAAACATTCTGATAGGTAAGAATTAATCCTCTATTCTTTATGACTACCTTCAAAGTCTCTCTGTTTCCATATTATCAATGTAAATCACAATAGACAATATTTGGTAATCGTTGTCCTAAGGTACTATTCAAATTAGATAGACGTCTTTGGCAATGACACTTCTTTGGTGGCATATACAATC